GAATTTGAGCGATTTGGTGGGTTTTGCATCGACTGTTACCATATGTTTTAAGAAGGAGACAAGGGTGGAAAGCTCATTTTCGATCACTCTAGTGCGAAACCAATTTTCACCCAGAAATAAGAATCGCCTGGCTTCCAAATCGAAAACCAGATAAACTGAAAGGTTGAGGCTTCTTCATATTAACAAAGAGGGTTGAAGTCATGTTGGGTTTCCATCACGCGACATAAACCTCACACCATGCTAGTCAGTAGATGAATTGCTGGCGCGAATATGCCCCTGACTCCCCTCCCACATGAGGCATTTGTAATCAGGCATTGTTTAGTGTCATCCAATCAGTGTTGGGCAAACAGTGTGATGGTTCCTCCTTGGCACACGAAATCGGGGCCGCAAATGCTGATCACTTCGAAAGCTGCATTTCTCGAAAATTTTTTGGCAGTTAGTGCTTGGATTTTGAATGGATTTTCGATTGAATTCAGCGAGAAGCATCATCCTATCAGTTTATCTGGTTTTCGATTTGGAAGCCAGGCGATTCTTATTTCTGGGTGAAAATCGGCTTCGCGTTAGAGCGGTCGAAAATGAGCTTTCCACGCTTGTCTCCTTCTTATAACGTATAGTAACAGTCAACGCAAAACCCACCAAATCGCTCAAATTTGCCATTTAGAGCCACAGAAATGACAATACACTGCAAGTGAGGTAGGTTTACATTTATTTTGAGCTTTAACTCTGACATTTCATGATATAAGTTTATGATAATAAGACTCTTCAATATTCTCCCATACATTCCTTTATATTTCGAATAAACAACCAGACTCATCGCTTGTCTGGGCTCCCTGTGGTGTCATTTATAAATTTTCATGTGCTGGCTGTAGTGCCAGTTACATTGGTGAGACCACTCACGCCACATTTGTACACGAGTTTGTTAGCACCTCTTGTCAGACAAGTCTTCACATATTTACAGGCATCTGCAATCATCAAGGGCCTCAGTCTTGACTCTTGTAATACAGAATGTTTCACAATCCTAGATTCTTCCGCCTCAAAATTCCAAATTAAGATCAAAGAAGCATTGCATATTAAGTGGGAAAAACCGTTCTTAATCAGCAATTGAACCATCTAGATTTGTCTCTTTCCTTTTAATTATGTTGTTCCTTTTGTCTTTGATTTATTTATTATTATTATTTTTTTTTAGTTTTGGTCCAGTTATGCACGAGCTATTTTCATTTTTTGTATACTTAATATTCAAATTGTAACATAGGCTCTGACACATAATTTGTAACATACCTTAATATAAATTCAAATGTACAACCATTAAAAGCTCATATGCAACTGAAGATGACATGAGAATGTCAAAACATGTCTTGTAAATTTAAATTTAAAGTTGTCATTTCTTTACTGAGAGTTATTGTCACTCTGCTGTCTTTATGTCCATTTGGTCACATAATGAAAGTTGGAATTTTGTTAGCAATAGACACTTGTGTGCATGGTTGGTTATGTGGCCTTTCAAAAGATGGTGGGAATATGTAGCTCATCAATAAACACATCTCTGAATTCACTTTCAGAAATATATAGATGATTATATTGGTCATTGAGGTCATAAGTTAAGCCACTGTTTAACAAAATGGCATCCTCCACAATCTTCAATTTGGCTGAACCTTTGATCTGAACATTTATTTTTGTGAGCAGCATTGAGAGGGGCTGTAAGATATCAGTGGAAGGACATTTACTTAATTAAATCAGCCCTATTATTGAGAAAGCCTGAGACCCTCTGACTGCATAAAACCTTGTGTGAATAACCAACCCTAAGATTTTAAGTACTGGACATGTTTAATGATAAGCATACAGGCCCTAGGTGATGAAGCAAAGCAATCACAAATGGAGGTTATTCCATGGAGTGTGTACAAATTATTTTTATTCACGGTTTGTGATGTATCAAAAAAAAAGAAAACAAAACAAATAAAACAAAGGAGTGAGTTTTTTGATACATAGCAATGAGTAAATAACAATTGTTCAAGCACTTCTCATGGCAGGATGTTTCTATTACTGACCAACAAACCTTTAAGACTGGAAGCCATTTAAGTGCAAGAGCAAATTTTATTATAAACACAGCCAAATCTGCAACATGGCACAATATTCAGAGCTTGTTGACAACTAGATATTTTTTGTTTTGTTATTTGTTTACACACTAGTGAAGTGCTACAATCATATAGGGACTTTTTATTGGATTTTTCCTGATAAAAAAGGAAAATAATGTGATTTAGGGTTTGAGACCAGGTGTTAGTTAGAAGTTGACAGGTCTGAAACATCAATCAAAGAAAGAAATACTATTGATAAGAAGTGATATTGATTTATTGAAGGTAACTAAGTGAGAGCTGTTGAGGAATTGTCTGTTTTGAATAAAACCTGAGTAGAAAATATCATAATTAGACTGCTGTCACATGAAAATAAAGAACAGTATCTTTTAGTCACTTGGCGATGTCAATTGCTTTCGTAGTTACTGTTGATAATAATATTCCACCTAAGAATTGTTGACACCTATAATTTACACCAAGTTGCTGGAAAAGATTTGATGAAAAAAACCTTTTTGTCTTAATATATCCTTTCCCAATATCTCAAACAGATACACTGTGATGAAATCACGATTTTTATTCAGGAGAGTTCTAGTCTATGAGGGACATTTTTGTTTTGAAAGGAGTGGCCTGAGTAATAAGCTGTAGAGCTCATGATGATGAAAGTAAATCAAGCTTGTTCCTTGAAGTTTCCTGACTGCACCAGGCAGCCTTCAGCTAGCCTTGACATTAATGTCTTTTCAATTGTTTAGTTATACAATATAGTTGTCATACAGGAATCACACAAATTTTGAGCATGATTGGCTACCATTGAAGAGAAAAAGGGTTGAAATGTAAAAGATATGAATAGGAATATTGCAAATTAACTTGTTGCAATTTGCAATCAGTTTCACTTTTATCCTTCAATTTGCTGACTGTTGACCTCTTTCACACTTCTCCAGTATTTGAACATTGTTATCTCTGTTTAATTTTCAGTAGCAAACCCAGGACGAGATCAATAAATCCTCCTCCACCTGTACTTCTCTTTGGAAGGAAAGGACACCTGTGGGGAGATGAAAAGAAGAGCAGGTTAGTTACTTAAATCAACACTCTTAGTGGAGACAAGGCAGTCCTTCGGAGGGCATTGATTTGGCCGGTCATATACTTGTACAGACACAGGACATCAATTTATGTGCAAAATATAATGTCATCAAGAAGGAGAAGAATAACTTTATTACCGAGACCGTAAATTTAAACGTAAACGTAGAGCGAAATTCAAAACATAATAAATTTGACTTGATACAGCCAAGAAGCTATTCGAGTTAGGAAAATATAACTTTCCAGAGATTGCAAGTGCAGTGGCAGTAAAGTAGAAAGTAAAGCTGCAAGTAAGATTAGAGATGTTTTAATAAGTAAATGTAGAAAATGTGTTACCACAGAAGTCTGAAAGCATATAAGGCACTCATGCTCGTTGTGTGGTAGTCAATCTGTGGTACATGTCTGCCGACTTCAAATTATACTTTCCTTAATTTTTTGATTGACACAAAAACGAAAAAAGTCCAGCTTACTGCTTTTATCTCAGCAATGTAACATAAAGGAAACTAATTTTAAGGAGTAAGGAAGGCGTGTTAGACGCGCACCGCCTGGACGCGCACCGCCTGGACGCGCACCGCCTGGTCCTATCTGGTTGGTAGTGAATTCGGAAATTAGCGACGCAAAGGAGTGACGGCACTTGGGATACGGTAAGCTTAACAGAGGCCCTCGAAGTTTCTTGTTCCACTAAAATTACCATACCACGCTAAAGAAAAAATACAGAATCTCAAGAAAGGGAAATAGTCATGCGAGAAAAAGCAACAGAGGATAGAAGCGAAAAAGCCATCCTTTATGTAGGTGACCTTCTGATACGCGGCGCCTTTTCTGTGGGCGGGGTCTATTGTAGTGCTCTAAAGCGGCCCTTTTCAAGGGCAGCTTATTTGAATGTTTGCTCCTAGAGAAGCGCACATGATGTTTGATATGAAGCTTTTTAGAGGGCGTAGGGTAGATGCACAGGCTCCCCAAATCAAGCAGGAGAATAAACTGGAAAAATGATTAGCCTCTCGTATAAAGGTCACGCGTTGTGCGAGTGCGAAGTAGAAACATTTAAAAGAAGGATGGCTAAACTGACTCACCTCTTGTGTGTGTTATTCCTCCGCCTTTTGGGGCTTACTTTGCCCCCAATGTTATTCTCATTATGAGGCGAAGCCAATGCTACGCAAAGATGAGAACATATGTGAGGGTGCAATCACCTTGGGCTAGAAATCTTTTGAAACATCTGCCGATCGCATGGATTTTCTAGTGGCAATTCGCCCGCGAGTGAACAAAAGATTAAACTCTTGGTAATACGTAACCTAAACACCGTGTCGTCTAGAAGGTCACCCGCAGACTTACCTGACGCGTGACGCTTTCTTTGTGAGTATTTTCCACTTTTCTCCTGACGTGAGCTTGAGAAGCCTGTTGTAAATGCGGTACACTTTGATAGCCGACCCTCTGTATATTAGTCTCGCAACCCAACTCCTCGTAATCGAAGATACCTCTTTGAACGTCCTTTTTGAAATAATTATTAGATGCAATGAATATATGAAGTTCATATATTTTGAACTGCGGTATTAGATACGTATGATGCATGATCCTCGCAGTAGATAGCGCTATTTATGCAATAGCGAAAATCAGACCTGAAAAAAATCAGGCCTGTACGGGATTCGAACCACTGACCTCTGCGATACTAGTGCAGCGCTCTACCAATTGAGCTAACAAGCCAACTGGGAGCAGGCCGTTAAGTTGATTCGTAATAAACCCGTGAAAGTGATAAATCAGATGCAATGAATATATGAAGTTCATATATTTTGAACTGCGGTATTAGATAGATACGTATGATGCGCGATCCTCGCAGTAGATAGCGCTATTTATGCAATAGCGAAAATCAGACCTGAAAAAAATCAGGCCTGTACGGGATTCGAACCACTGACCTGTGCGATACTAGTGCAGCGCTCTACCATTTGAGCTAAAAAGCCAACTGGGAGCAGGCCGTTAAGTTGATTCGTAATAAACCCGTGAAAGTGAAAAATCAGATGCAATGAATATATGAAGTTCATATATAGCGTAAATTATATAGCATATATAGCACATATAGCATAAATAGCGCTATCTACTGCGAGGATCGTGCATCATACGGAAATAATTATTGTGGGCAATTTCCGTTCAATACTGAATTTGCCCTATTTTGTTAACCAATCAAAAGTGTTTGAAAGTTCCCCCTTAGAAAGTGAAAGTGCTTTATTTTTTAGAAAACTTCTACAATTTTTTAGGGCGTCTGTTCGCGTGGAAATTTGTCGACCGCAACTAATTTTCAAAATTGATTGCGGAACATTTGAAGCAATATTGAATAAAACATTGTGGTAAAATTTTTCACAGTCGCGACAGCGTGGAATTGTACATGGAGTCGGCCTGAGGTTTGATTCAGTGAACCATTTGTTTATCATTATTGTCCTTACCGATTTAAAGAAGGTACCCCTCTCCTAGTGTAATTTTTACAGCAATGTTAAACCACATACATAGCATATATTGTAGTAAAAGTCCTTTAACACTTTCGACCCGAATTTTATATTCGTTTAGCCATTTCGTTATCAGGTTTTATATGGACGGTTTCCAATTGATTGGTTTGATATAGATATGCATTGTGTAATTTTGCCAAGATGAATCATAACGAGATCTTAACAACACTGATGTCTCATAGCGACATTTTAGAGATATTGCTCCCATTTCACTCATGTTCTCATCATGTAAACCACTTACTGAGCTTCTCTTGGAAACAAAGGATCTTTATCCGTCTGCCAAGTTGGCTACAAATTAAGAAGACATGCATTCGTTAGTGTAAGGCCTTAGCGATGTATAATTGGCCATATACAAGGTAAATGATTCTGAGCTGATATATAAATAGCTTTTGGCGTTCTTTGTATCTGAAACTCCGATAAAAAGAATGGTTTTATGTTATCTTGATCTCGAAGTCGAAAGTTCGTCAGACGTTCTTTTGATAAAGAAAAACTTCATCTATGAACAAAAACAACAGGGACATCAACAGACTTAGTATAAGAGTTAGCTTACCTATTGTGGCACACTGCGCCACAGTAATTTAGAGATGGCTAACCCATGATTTGAAGCGGAATTTTATCAACTCATTTCAATTTTCCGTAGTGGTGTCGCATTTAGACGATGTTTTTCTCTTGCCTTGTATTCATGATTACATTTTATTTTTAAGACAACGTAACACTAGTTGTTTATGAACCCGATATGCAGGGACACTTCTTATGTAAACGTATTGAATACTAAAGCATACTAAATCAAAATGCGATGTCGAAGTGCTTGCATTTCAATCAGAAGTATGTTTTACACTGCACCTACGGAGACCGCAGACACCAATAAAATCGCTTAAAAAATGACAAGAGCAGAAATAGCATTACAATGTTTAAGGGGCTAGGTCGCAACTCGCACATGCGCATTTAAAATGGGGTAAAATTAATGGTAGCACTAACGGCCGCTGGGTTGGCAGTCTTTGCTGTCGCGTTTCATACATTCCGTTTAATCCTGGAATGTTGCCACTGCGAACAGGTCTAAGATGTAACCCACATCAGAGATATGTCTTGGAACCCGTTTTGGAGTGAATAAATCACCTGAACGGCAATGTGTTTGGCTTCCTCGCTGACGTGTCCTTTTGACATCAATCGATTCTGTACGATCGACAGGACAAACGAGTAGCGAACCATTAGGCTTTTTCTCTTCCTTCGTAGCATTTGTTCCTTACCTTTTGTAATGATGATATTTGATAATAATTTCTTGTAATGCTGCTTCCACTATATTTTCTGTGTATTGTTTTTGTTCTCCCTTTTGCCAGCGAACGAACTCGCGTTTGATTCTCTTGAAATAATTGCTCCGAGCTCTCTGCAAAAAAAGGTTTCTGTTAAAAAATGTTTCTCCGAACAATCTATTTTCTGAAATACCATTGGCAGAATAGCAAATCTCTTCAGAATCTCAAAGGATGGCGACATTTGAAACGTTTCGCTGAGCCAGTTAATTTGCAATTATCCACTTGTAAGTTTCTTTACCTTTGTCACGGTTGTGTAGACGACTTGCCTTATCAATACACCTGTTGTTGAATTTACTTAGAAGGTGTATATACGTGTTTAAAACCTTGAGGTCAATCTTGAGTATTGATTAAATCAGTGTCTTTTCTTGCTCATATGTCATGAAGGCTTCTTCGACAAAAAAATTTCGTAAGAAAAATGATCATCGGGGTCGCAACTGGATAAATGGAAAATTCAGCTTGAAGCCGACTAATCAGTTTGAGACGTCACCAAGAGACCAGAATCAAAGATATCTACAGGAGGCTTCCACACACCGGTAAAATGTGTTCTTAGCTTCTGTCACGTACGTAGGTAGTTCGGTTACTTGTCTAACATGCTTTTGAAATCCCACTTGCGTCTGTCAAATACTGGAAGCGCTCAATTGAGCCCACAAGTCTAGATTTTCGTTTAAATTAACGGGATCCTCGTCATAGTTTTGATCGAAGTTGATTTAAATTATATGTCAAAAGGTTAATTTACTACGTAACAGTTAATGCTTTCCAATCATCCAGCTCACATTTATCAACTAGCAATTTTTTCTTCTTGATTGTGTCCTGCTGTGTGTGATCTTCTAGCACTTTTCGCATTACAGTGCTATGGTCTCCTAACGCCTACCGCTTTATACAGTGCTGTGCTTTGATCTTAAGTACTAGAAGAAGGGTTACAATACGAACAGTAGTAGAGTAACTTTTAAAAGAAGGGAATTTTTTGGAGACTGCACTAAACTTTTCCCTTTAATTGGTTGAGGTACGCTTTCGGGGTCAAACAAAACTTTTTGTGATGAAAACCATAGAAATTTCAGTTACTATGCTAATCAAGGCCGAATATTGCTCTACTTTCGTCACGGTTGCGATGTTGTTCTTTTGTTTGCTATAACCAAGTATGTAGTCAATATTGTATTTTCTTGTTTGTTTTCAATTATTTTTCTTTTTAATTTTTTTTTTTTTTTTCATATCTTTTTTTATTTTGTTGCTTGTTGTGGTAAGTTCAATCATTGAGAATTAATTACGTAATATTTATGAACGTAGTTCTACCACGCTCAAATCGTTAAACGTTATCATTTGAGTTATGAAGGCTTGCGTGAGTGCGGTTGTTTGAATGTTGGGTGAAATCTCATAAATCTATTCTCAGCCTCTCGTGAATAGTTCCTTGACGTCTCAGTCGAAAACATAGCTTTCACCATTAGGCAATTCATTTTTCATTCACTGAATAGTGTGCTCTAGGTCACGAGTAACCGTTCATATTAGGTTCTTAGTTTTATCGGTAGTTTAGTGACAATGGTTGGGTAATTGGACACATTGCCTGTGGCAATTTCCCATTAAAGATAAAGCCCCAAGTGTGACCTGATCCATGTCCTCTTAAATTTTTAACCTTTGTCCAACGTCATTTCTGTAGATTTAGTGTCTTGGAAATATAGGTTCTATACTAATTTAATGGTCGGAATATACTTTCGGAAGTATTCTCGTTTCCAAGCACCAACTCACGTTCATTTCTGTCCTGAGAATTTTGGTGTTTTTAACCTTCGTTGGCGCTCTGACAAACTTGAAATGCGTCGAAAAACTCGCAAGAATTGTTCCTTTCTATCCTGAGATCAAATTAGTCCATGATATTGAATTAAATCCTGGTCCTGGACAATGTTCAAGGAAGGACAACATCAAGATCGCTCACCTCAATGTACGGTCACTCAAGCGAAGAGAACACTTCATTCAAGTGAAAGATACCGTTCTCTCGAATGACTTCGACGTTTTCACCATTTCCCAATCCTGGTTAGACTCTTCTGTAATTAATTTGGAAATTGAAATTCCTGGATATGATATTTTCAGAGTGGACCGACAAAACCAAAGAGGCGGCGGTGTGTGTGCTAACGTTAAACAACGTCTTAAAACTGAAATTCTACGTGAAATCTCTGGAGTATCAAGCAACGGTCTGCATCAACTTTGGATGAAAATTCAATTGCGAAATTTTAAGTCATTCTTAGTTTGCACAACCTATCGACCACCAAGTTCCCCGGTAGCATGCCTTGAAGCCGATTTGGGTACAAGTTTGATCTCCGCTTTGTTGTTAAACAAGCCAATTTACATTCTTGGAGATATAAACTGTAATTTATTACAACCTGATCTACCCGAATCTCAAGCATTAACAAGCTTCTGTTCTACCTACAACCTGGAACAGCTCATCTCAAGTGCAACTCGCACTACAGAGTCAACAATGTCCCTGATTGACGTTATCATGGCCTCAAACTCCAAGCATGTTATTAAATCGAGCGTACTTCCGTCTTCGATAAGCGACCACGACCTTGTTTACGTTACTCTGAGATAAAAAAGGGAACGTAAATCAGCAGCATTCGTCACGAGGAGGAGCTTTAAATAATATTCTAAAGAAAAATTTGCAAAAGAAGTTAGTTTTGCACCATGGTTAGTTGTGGATATTTTCGACGATCCGGATGATAAATTGTACATCTTTAACTCTTTGTTTAATCAAATTTTGGATGAACACGCGCCTGTGAAAACCTTTCGCATAAAGGGGAAGCCAAACCCTTATATTACAGACGAAATCCGCGAGCTTATGGCTACTAGAGATAACTGGAAACGTGAATTCAAGCGAACAAAAGATCCTCTTGCTTGGTCCGCATACAAAAATTTCCGCCGCGAAGTTAAGAAAAAGAGTTAGTTTCACAGCAAATTGAAGACAACAAGAATAATAGTAACACCATGTGGAAGGCAATTCGTAGTTGTATTCCAAAAAAATCTCAATCAAAGACGACTTTTTCAAAGGACAGCGAAGTTGTTGCTAATGAATTCAATAATTTTTTTGCATCCGTGGGCAAGAACACAGCCGAGAAAGTCAATTCAATGGCAGAGCAATTCAAGCATGACATTAATGACAATAGCAACGTCTTTGTCTCTAAAGAATATCCGGAGTTAGAACAATTTTCATTTAACGATTGTGTGAGTTGTGATTAAGTGGAACGTGTTATTTCCTCTATGTCACCAAATAAAGCTCCTGGAATCGACAAAATTCCCATGTATGTTATCAAAGATTACCTACCATCCATACTGCCATCAGTCACTTCAATTGTTAATGCCACATTCAAATCATCTCAGTTTCCGATCGACTGGAAAAATGCTGAAGTTGTTCCTATTTCAAAGGACGGTGACTCAGAAATTCCAAGTAATAATCGGCCTATCTCGCTTTTGCCAATACTATCTAAAGTTTGCGAGAGGGTCGCCCATGACCAACTCACCTCATATTTGTCGATTAATCAACGAATGAGCTCTAAACAAATGGGGAATACGAAATGGAACTCAACTGAAACTTCAGTTATCCTTACAACTGATTCCATATTGGATCGTATTGACTAAAAGAAACTCTCTGCAATTGTTGTACTCGATTTCAGTAAAGCCTTTGATTCCATCAACCACAATGTTGTTATGGCAACGCTGCAAGACGTTGGGCTTTCGGCCCAAGCCATTAAGTGGTTCAACAGCTATCTGTCTCCTCGATACCAAACCGTTAGGATTGACTCTGCCTACTCTGACTTCCTACCACTGTCCAGCGGTGTGCCCCAGGGGAGTATTCTGGGTCCTCTTCTTTTCAATATTTATATTAACGACCTTCCAAGTATTGCCACATCTTGTAGCACTCAATGCTATGTGGATGATACTAAACTACTCTTGACGTTCAGCCTTGACAATAAAGAAAATGCCATCTGCAAGCTTAATGATGACCTAAGTAAAATATCTGGACATTTGTGAACTTTCTTTTACTAAATCCCGAAAAAACCAATCTTGTCATCTTTGGAAGTAGAGCAATGACAGCCAAAGTTGGAGACTTCCGTCTAACACTCTTGGGAAAAGAGCTCCTGCCTGTCGATTGTGCCAAGGACTTGGGAGTGATGCTTGACTCAAACCTTACATACAGAGATCATGTGGAGTCAACAGTTGCTAGTTGCATGTCCAGGCTGGGACAAATCAACCGTGTGAAGCATGCATTCAACAAAGATACATTAAAAATCCCGATAAATGCGTTAGTTTTCGGCAAACTGTACTATTGCTCCAACGTATGGTGTAACACCACTGAAAAGAATTTAAATAGAATCCAAGCTGTACAAAATTTCGCTGGCCGTATTTTATGCGACAAAAAGAAATACGACCATGTTACACCAATTCTTAAGCAATTGCACTGGATACCAATAAGACAACAACTGTACTACCGTAATGCAATTCTGGCTTTCAAATGCATGACTGGGTGCGCGCCTGAGGCCCTGACTTCACTTTTTGTTCAAAGATCAAAAATCTCAACACGTTGGACAAGGAACTCACAGAAACTACAGATCCCACTTTGCAAGACAGCAACCGGTCAAAGATCTTTCCACTATAGAACTGTTAGCCTCTGGAACGGTCAGGATACAGAACTGAAACTTGCTGCGAACATTGATATGTTTAAAAGGAAACTCAAATCTTTGCTTATTTCTGAATTTTTGAAATCTGATTAGTACTTCTGATTAGAATATCTATTTTTTTTTAACCAATCGTGTACATTTGTTTTTATATATATTCTTAGATTATATTATATTAGATGTTGTGATTAATTAATTTTATTTGAATGTGTAGTCAGTAATTTATATATTGTTCCTGAAAAGCCCCATTGGGGAGGCGACAATAAAATATGTATGTAATTTAGAATTGTCTTGAGGGTGTAGCCGCGTTTGCGTCTTCTTCGAATACCAGAGGTGGAATATTTACGTTGTGCTGGTTAGTCAGTAGTTGACACAAAAATTAGTATTTTATCAGTGAAATTTGCTTCCTCGTCAACCATATTCTAATAGTGAGGTTTTTGATAGCAGACCTCTTGAAACTGTATTCCAAAAGAAAGTTAAAATTTTCTAGCCTTTCTCTCCTAACACTGAATCGGGTTATTATGGATGACTTTGTGATTGGTGAAAAGTTCAATCTTAGCTTTAAATTCTTGAGAAATCTCAAACAAACCATCAAACTTTCTTTTGACTCAAATCTGACCACTCTGTACTTTGGAACAAATGAAGTACGCCTGGGTCTTGTAAGTATTCTGAATATGATATTTAATCAAATGCAACTTTTCTTCTCCATCTTGCTGTTACAGGAGCCATGTAGACCCCTCGGAGCACTTCTTGGCGTGGGCCAAGCCACCCCAGAATGTGTTAGTAATAAAGAAAGTAATGGATCAGGAGGTAACGAGAAGCTTCAAGGAACTTACCCGATGGCTCTCGGAGGTTAGGCCAAACTTAATTGTACTATGTTTTAGAGCATCTTAATGTTACGTGTGAGATAAGCAAATATATATCCTAACTAAAACTGGAGAAAATTTGTTGATATTCCGCAGTTTTCCTTAAACTTAGCGTTCAATGCAATGAAAGTCTTCTTTTAAGAATTGACTCATGTTGGAGGACGTTTTTGTGTTGGTATACAGAGGACGAGACAAACTTGTTTATATATTTTGCCAAAGAGATTTCAGGGATAATAAACACTTTAGTCCCCAGTTGGCCTGAAATATATATTTCAGTATATTTGTCCTCGGACATTACCGATTGGTTACTCGAAGTTCAGCGGCAGTTTTCAACGAGCTTCACCCTCCCTAAACATTTTGCTTCTCTACAAAGGTGTCCGCGAAAAGTATCCAAGCATAAAATTCGCGCCTAGTGGAGAATAGTTTATATATCATTTTGAATGTTGAATACCTTTTCTTTTTTTTTTTTTGGTAATGTTATAGGAGAGAAAAATGATTATTTACGCTGAAGAATCTGCTGTAGGGGATCCTCTAGTACTCAGAGACGAATCATTTACATGTGTGAAATCAAAGATGTGCATTTTCAAAGAGGGTGAGTTATCAATCATATCTCTACGAATGAAACTTTGCATGTAAACTAGATCAATCCTGAACGTTTTTTTGGTTTAAGGTTTTCTTTTTCAAATAGGGTGAATAAGGTATTAATCACCAGTGGTTGAAGAAAGACGAGGCTCCTTACTCTCATTTCGGTGGTTTGACCATGCATAACCGCGTGTTTGATTTATTTTCTGTTCATAACTGTTTAGGCGACCAGTTGGATGATAAAATCGACTTTGTCATCTGCATGGGAGGTGATGGAACACTTTTGCATGCGTCATCTTTGTTTCAGGTGAGTATACTAATAGTTTGTGCCGGTAGTTGTTGGTATTTGGTGAATTTCGATTATTGCTAAATATATTTGTGGATTACAATATCGTTGTGCCTTTCCAACTTGAGACGTAGTGGACCAAGAAGGCATAAATTGTTTGCCAGATTGTACACAGATGAAAGTGTGTAGGGGTGAACTGCCTGTATTAATCCAGAGACTGAGAGTTTTCTAACAGAGTCCCATGAATGTGAACATGTTTCGAGAGACTGGTGAAATGTTAGATCCAGCCACAGTACGCTATGTCACCGCCCTTATCCGAGTCTTGTGAAGGGTGCGTTTAAGATAATCTAAGGAGTAGCGCTCTTCACTTGCGAGCCAAAACGATTGCTTCGATGGTCATACAATAGGCAACCTTTAGGTTTATCTAGAATACCAAATGATAACTTCTCCTCAGATTGAACATAGGCACCCTTGAAAATCTTGTCAAAACGTGTTTCGACGACGATAAGGCTGACTGTCAGTCTAGTAAGTAACTTCTGTGGATGGGAAGAAAGTCCTAACAGCACAGTCTCTATGATACTTTACATGACAGTAGCCGCCTGAAAGCCAAAGTACAACCCAAGTCCTATTTTTCTTTTACAGTCCAGCTGCCCTCCTGTCATGGCATTTCATCTTGGTTCTTTGGGATTTCTTACATCGTTTAGATTTCAAGATTTTCGAAAGAAAATAACCGATATCTTAGAAGGTGAGTTTAATTTCTTGTGGCCCAAGAGGGGCTCCAGTGAGAGCAAGCTTGTCTTCAAAAGATACTAAAATTGACTCGAGCTTTCATCTCTGGAATTGGCCTGGTAGCATTGTTTTCTCTCCACAACAGAAGATCCGTATAGAGAGCAAAGGCCACTCACACCTCGAATTCTTTTTACTTTGTTGTTAACGTATAGACGTTTGTTAATTACTCCAAGCCACATTAAGTGATTTTCTTTTCCCCTTGTGGGTTACGTAATAAGAAGCATAAATCAAGAGAGCGGTCCTGTTTACCATTTTCAGGTCGTGCGGGCTTAACCCTAAGAAGCAGACTTCAGTGTGACTTTATCAAGCGTGACAAGGAAGACAAAGGCCGAACTAAAAAGACCCGTCACTTGGTCTGTTCACAACTGTAGCATATTACTGATTCATGGTTTACAGGCTGCTTAGTTGTTGTTGTAGTTTCCGACTTTCTGCAAAAGGGTGAATTACGTAAGAGTGTCCATGACAGTTGCCTTTGGCATAGAAAAAACTTTAAAAAAACAAATACATGAACGAAAACAAAAACAATTAAAAAATATGAAAAATATACAGTTAACACCCGCATAAAAGGATGCACGCTTTGATGAATTCATTGTTCGATTCTACCTTTAATAAAAGAGGGACAACTTTCAAACCGGAGGGGGTGAGGGACTGGTGCGTGTAAGGGAGGGGTAGTATTTTTGTTGATTGAATCGAGATTATTAAAGGAGTGTGTTATCAAAATAAGAAATGCCAATACACTTCAAAAGGCACTGTTTTCTAACCACATTTAACCTGTTCAGTTATGGTAGGCTGAAATGGTTCTTCTTTGAATTGTACAGTTTTCATCACATTTCAGTGTAAAAGTTCTTAATCCACTTGTTCGAGTATGTGGGTGTTTAGTGTAGTCTTACATTAGAGTGCTGACCATCAGTCTTTGGATTTCAATCGTTACTATCTTCTGTGAAATTCTTTCCCTCTTTGGTTCTGTTTCATTTTTTATATCCTGCTTTCTTGGATTATTTTTAATGATAGGTACATGCGATTTTGCTCCACAGGTATTGAACGAGGTGGTCGTTGACCGTGGTCCTTCGTCGTACCTCACAAACTTAGAAATATATTGCAATGATTTTCACATCACATCCGTACAGGGAGACGGTAAGATGCTGTCCCTTCACACTCATCCTGTTCTGTAATTAATTCTCAGAAGATTTCAAAGATTTCAAAGAAATCACGTTGATCAATATATCAATTTTCAGTTTATCCACGAGAATTCACTCCCATGCCGGTTATTTGTATATTGTTAACCCCCTTGGTTCTTGCAGGTCTCATCGTCTCCACTCCAACTGGCAGCACAGCTTATGCCGTGGCTGCAGGAGCTTCGATGGTTCACCCCAGCGTGGCTGGAATCTTAGTTACTCCTGTCTGTCCGCACTCTCTCTCGTTCAGGCCTATGATCCTTCCGGCGGGAGTAGAACTCAAGGTATAAAGTGCTTTAAAAAGTTTGAAAACTTAATTGAAACAAACGAACCTGCAAAGAAAACAAAGACATCGGTGTTGTAAACGATGTTGCGTTCAATAATTGCCTTTTCTCGATGCAATTGTAGATTGTAGTAAGTCCAGAGAGCAGAAGTTCAGCTTGGACCTCATTTGACGGAAGGCAGCGTCAAGAACTTCACGTGGGAGACAGGTGAGATTCAAGATTCATCTTTGCTTTCATATGTTGTATTTTCTTCAGGTCTTCGTTACAGACACCAGCTCACGTGTTCACTGTTAAACTAAGTGCAGATAATGTTTTTGAAGATCTGGTATAGGTCTGGGACGAAAAAAATCAACACCTTTCTTGTTGAATTATTCCTCTGTTTTCTTGAAATTCGTAAGATCTCTTTTAAAAGTGACACTATGGTGAATTCGTGGATATACTGTGCAGAATGGTTTGAATATACAGTGAATGTACCAAAAGCAAATGGTCCTGTTTTTCTAAGAAAAATGATTGAGCTGTCATCCCCTTAAAGTCTGCCATATTTGACGATCGGTTCGCCATCTTTATAAGATGCATGGTCTCCCCAGACTCCTAAAGCCATGCTTATGTCTCCAAATTTGAATATCGAGAAGAGGTGCGTTTATTTATTATATGCATACGGATTATGTGGAGCTGTTCATTTGAAGGGCAGCAAAAGTGTTTAAGTAGCGCTCAATTGGCAAAATCAGTTGATCAGGACTTTTGTGAGTAGGAGGGGAGATCACTTTCGTTGTCGGATTTAAATAAGTGACGAGCTCTTCTATCCTCTCTCTTCGAAGTTCACCTTTGTTTTTACTTTTCAGTATTCAAATTACGACTTCCATTTACCCTGTACCGTGTGTGAATAGCGAAAATCAGATAAATGACTGGTTTGTAAGTCTGGCCGAGTGTCTTCACTGGAACGTAAGACAGAGACAACGTCACCTATCAATAACGGATTGCCACGTGTGATTCTTCGCAACAACAAATTGGCCTTCAGTGTCCACTGCAGCTTTGGTCAGAACATAATTTCCACCTCAACTTCAAGCTCAATTAAATATTTTCGCGGAGAAGCAATGTTTCTGCCGATAAGTAAATTTACGTTAGAGTGCTTCCAAGGAATATCGTGATGTATCATTCATCATTAGTTACTACCATCTTCACCGTTGTGTACAGTTTACAGTTTGTAAAAATCTTCAACACTCTCGAGAATTTTGACGCATTTCTTTCCTAAGTGTTGTGAAAAAAAAAAGAATTTCAAGTCAAAAACTGAAAGAAAACAGTCACTTTTTCGCCCGTTCAATAAGCTTTCTAATTAGTTAGGTAAGTAGAATGGTATGTAGCGTACTTATTCTAGAGGCCTTGGACATTAAGCCATCGCAGGTGCAAATTATGATCCCTACTGGTAGACACAGCAGTCAAATGGCTCAGGTCATGCTAGTGTAAAATCCTAGTTATAAGCCCCAGAAATTTACACTGTATCAAGTGGCAACTTGTAGTGACTCACTTTGAAGGGGTGGGTGGCAGTGGAAGGGGTGGCGAAGCGGCAAGCTAACATCTAAAGGAAAATTTGAAAACTGTGATAGTAATTATAATCTGTAACGAAACAAGATGAGACTTTGAAAGGGGCTTAAAGTCGGGATTCTAAATTGTGCAGACTAATGTAATTTGACTGTTCTCTGCTCGATATTTATGAATGTAAATAATCCATATTCATAACGTATTATTGGTGAATGAATTCCTTATTTATATTGCGCCCTTTCTATACAATATTCAAAGGCTCGGTACCCCCCATCAATTTGATAGACACTACACAAAGATAGACCACAACACCGGGCACTACTCACTACTTTTCGAACAGTGTGTGCGTTCTTTAACGTCCCACAATTTTTTTTTATCACATACAAGGGCGTGTGAGACGGGACCTCCATTTATCGTCCCTATCCGAGAAGACTAGAAAGTCTAACCATTTGCAGATTTTATTACAAAGGCAGCACTTTCTTCTCAGCTATTTAAAGACCCTGAGTGTTGGTCCCGCCGGATTTGAACTCACAGCCTCCCGCACAACAGTCCGGCGCTCTACCAATTGAGCTAATTGGAGGTTGATTTAATTCAAAGATGTAAAGTCGTACGTTTGATAAAAAAAATCTTTCTGTAAAAGTACGTTAAATATCCAGGATTATGGTCTAGAACAGATGTTTCTTTCCATATCTACTGTGACGATAAGTTTTCGCTTGTAAACTGAAAAACTGAACCTTCGCGGACGGCACAACATTAACTGGAAATTAACTCGGTAGAGACCACTCGGCAGCGAGAACGGAAACTCGTCACGATTTCCTGGTACACGGAGATCTACTTCGAGCGAGCTTATACGGACGTCAAGGATGAGACAGCATTTGGTTCCACAGTGAACTTTATTCTAGGTCAGGTCAATAAGCGACACGACCTCTAGCATACTCAATTTTGTGATCATCTAAACTGTACAAGGTAGCTGCTTTTCAACTAACCGGTGTGAAAATCAACCATATTTAGACACCAAAACAAAGAAGCGGTAAAGATCTCTTTGAAGTTAAACGAAAACCACTTAAATATTCCCATCTGTTTCTCCGACGAAAATAATTTCAAATTAAAAGGACGGATGCAATCAACGCGAGGTCATTAAAAATAAGAAGCTTAGGTGAGAATTCGCAGCTCTGGCATAGAAAATATACTTATCTCAATTGCAGTAGCGCAGCTTAGGAAATAAGGGTGAAAAAGTAATTAAAAGTTTCCGCTTGTCTATGCAAGGTTGGTGTGGAAACATCGTATGAAAGGAAATTAAAATTACGAGTTTAACTCAGCTGCTAACTACCACGAGAACCAATTTTTTTCCAGAAAGACCATTAACACCTATATTCACCTAAAATTACACAAAGAACGAACAACAAAAGTACCGACATGCAGGTGCATGATGGAAGCGAATAACAAGCATAATCTATTCCGAAAGCCACTGTGGTTTTTATACATTTTTATTTAACTTACTAGAAGGAAAATCGGAATAAACCCAATATTTCAAATGCGAAAGTATACGAATACATATGGAAGATATTTGCCCCCAAAACCCACGGAAACCCTAAATGTAATATTTTGTGATGTACATTAACAATTCACTTTACTGGTTATAACTTTTACAATGACAGCAGCAATTTCAATAGAACAACTCGTTCTCCTTTGCCGCTTAACTGGTCGAGTCAAAGAACGAACAGAACACAGAAACTAGGTCGAAACCGGAAAATAAACTTGAAACTGCGCGGCCGCGAAATACTGAAAATTTGTCCAAAACTAAAACATAATTTTTCCCCTAAACTGCAAAATCTGGAATGCAAACTGGAAAATCATCACTTTGGAAGGTTTCTAATTTTGCCGGGTATATTTTAACCGCCTCCCGGTTAGCTCAATGGATAGAGCGCAGGACTGTTGTGCGGGAGGTCGAGGGTTCGAGCCACGGCCGGACCAACACTCAGGGTCTTAAAATAATTGAGAAGAATTTGCTGCCTTTCTATAACATCAAGAAATGGTTAGATATTCTAGTCTTCTCGGATAGGGACGAATAAATGGAGGTTGGGGTAGGAGACGTTAATTTTTCCCACACACGAGATTACTGTGTGATGGATGTCCTACCCTGGGGGGGGATGGTTGGGATATTGGGCGCACTTAATTTGGAGCCTCGCTCTGTTGTGCGACCCTCACCATACTCTGGTGAAAGTGATTAAAGCAGTGAAAAGTCTCACTTTGTAACATTGCGTATTCGTCCTTCCTTTGAAACGAAGTTCGATTAGGTGATGTAATTAATGTAATGACTCTGTATAGACTTTTCAGTGCAATGTTTGTGAAAACTTAATGATAACGACAGCTAGCCTTAACGGAAGGTTTCAACTTTGCCGGGTACATTTTTTGTGAAAATAGAAAGCGTCACTGTCACCACAAGCTTTTTCCTTGTACCAGACAACACTAACAGCGACAGTGCAGACCGATTGCTTTCTTTCGTGCCGATATACACCCACCCCGTCACTCCTTAGTTTTTTCTTTACTTTTACAGTCAATTTACACAATGCAGCACAATTTTTCTTTATAGTTTTACAATCAACTTTTACAAGCATTGAAGACCCAACCTCTACAAAATGCTAATCTGTGAAAGGAACTCTCGTATTTGTTGAACAGATGATAGAGCATCAGGCTAACAAAGAGAAAATCCTTTTTGACCTATCAGGCAGTATCAGTCGGCATGCTTGTATTTAACTGACCTCTGAAGAACCCTTCGGGAACGTGATCACTTACTTTGGGGATTAAGTAAACGCGTTTAACATGTGGTTAAAGCAGAAAGGGATGTTAACATACAGGATTAGTTCACTAATCGTGCATTTCTTCACGCAAGTAAACGATTTGGGAACTGTTTACACAGCTTAAAACCCTGCACTGTCAGTTGTAGCCTTGCTCAATTACTTCACTCAAAGAATGACGATTATGGAGTCAGGTAGATGACCATTAAGTGGCCACGAAAGAAAGTTTCAGTTCCCCAGAATTGTCATTTGAGCTGCAATTTTTTAAACTGCTACAGGAAAATGATCTGAATAACATGTTTACTCGGAAAGTAAATACTAGCGTTTAAGGAGCTTACGAAAGTTAATTACTGCGAGGTCTGTACGTCAATTCCCACGCTGGAAAGATAGCAAAAAACAGGCCCCAAAGAAAGAAATGTATGAGTTGAATCTACTTTCAAAGCATTGCACAAAAACGCAAGACACCAGGAAAAAGCTAAAGGAAAATGTAGTAACGAGAAACTGTAACAACAGTTTTTTTGTTTTTTTGTTTTTTTTTTTTTTCAGGTTTATTAAAACATAAGAGTAGAATGAGTTTATAAGGATAAAACAAAGAGTTAAATGATTTAACAAAAACGAAAGAAGAGAAAAACCTGAGGAAAAGTTCCGCTCGCGCTACATATCAGTTTTCGGGCGTGACAAGTTTTTTGTTTTTCGACTTGGAATGAATGATTTCCAATGTCATCGGCAGTCGCACGTTCGTCCCCGCTGACAATAAGACCAGTCGACTTCCTGTTTTTAATCCTCAGAGGTTGTACAACAGCAGGAAAGGAAGTAGAAAACCTCAGGACAAGCCTTAGTCTGCTGTTAAGTTCAACTGTGTCCATGAGTTATTTCCCCTCTTTTATAGGTACTATGTCATGTTTGGATCGGGCCGTGGGACTGATTGCGTGTTGGAAGGTGGCCGCTGTTTAGCAAATAGGGCAGGGGTTACATTCTTAACTCATTACTAATGGTCGTGACTTAAAGTTTCTCAAGAGTTCGATTTTAGCGTTCATCAGAAGACCAGACAATTAAGATTGTCCTTGGTAATGAGGTTAGGAGGAGAATCAACTATGTTAGAATCCATTGAAGAATTAAACTGAAATAGTAAAGCCACCCGGCCTTTTGTACAGATGTAACTTCGGTTTACTCCAAGGCGAAACTTAAGTCATTGCTGCGGTATTTACATGTCTTTCAGTTTACCGTGAACCGGCCGACTGACTTAACTACGATTGATCACGGCGCTCTTGGGCCCAACTTAGCTATAAAAGAACAAAATGATTAAAAGGCAGTCATGGTATAATGAATTCAGTGTCTATCTTAGCATGTCGATCGGAGGAAAAGGGAGTACCTTATTTAATTAAGCTGAATAGTACTCTCGCACGGCTTATCTGAAATATACAGCAACACTTAATGCCATCGTTGTTTTCGACAATCTTGTTGAAGCAGTTTAATCCTTATAAGTCCGCGAAAGGATCACGAAAGGTGCCAAATATCTTTCCTAACCGGTCGTAGAAAATATAGCTCGTTTAGAATGGATGCCATTGGCGGATTAGCGAACTAATACGGAGTACGGGCAAAAGATTTTTTCCTGATTCACCAAATAATCCGGAGTTTGTTGCAATCCGCCTTTCATGCACTCATTGTTATGTTTAGTGTTATAGTTTGCCCTCCTTCTCATTTTTTAAGCGCACAACAAACGAAGAAAAGCAAAAGCAGGACGTCATCTCTGGTTAGGTCATGTTGTCCGTTCAAGTGGCCGGAAATCAACTAGCTGTCTTTTTTTCTTGGTCGAACTGAAGCGCCACGTACACTGGACACGGTGTCTCTAACCTTCCTCACCCCCAGTTAGCCTTGTTTGCTGTGCTGTGGTCAGATCTCATTTGACAAGTTAGTTGCTCATGACGAGCCTAAAGATATTCGCTTTGCTCTGGAAGAAAGTAACAAGGAATCTGTCAGCAAACTCCCGAGTAAACAAGAAAAGGAATCCGCCTTGCGTGTTATTTCCCTATAAATATTACTTGCCCTATATAATCAAACCTGAGGAAAGCTAGTCGAAATGGTTATGTTCTACGCAAACTAATTCCGTCAGTATGCGTAAAATAGACCTCTCGGTGGCTTATCTAACCCTTACCATAGGCCAGTGCCTGATAGGAGAGCAGTTTCGTCCCCTCCATCGTTGACAAGTCTTAATGTTTCACAGCTTTGCGGAATTACATCTTTGGTTTTCAAAAATCACTCATACTTGGCAACTTTACAGACAACAATGCACCTTCGATAAGTTTTTTTGCTAACTGTTCTGCTTAGAAATTTGATAAAAAAAGAAGCTGTGTAGGAGTCTGAGGTAATGTGATAGAGAACTAAACAACAGTGGGCAGTTAATGATCCCCAATCTAATGGCTCCAATGTTTTTGCAGTTAACAATCAAGTAATCACGAAAATTTGTAACTATTTACTTTTCTTATCACCATCACCCTTGCTCGTGGCCAGTATGCCAGTCAGCCATTGCTGTGACGCTGCTTTGCGCTGCTAAGAGTGCGAGATGTTAATTGTTCGTTTCTCTAACGCTGGTATCTTTGGGTTGTGAATGTCTAAACTATGAAATAAATTAAGTAATGTAATTTTTTCCGAAAAAATGAAAACATCATAACGCAATTGAAATAAAACAGTCATTCTAGTTACGCACGCTACGCGTCGTTGACTGGCATGAATAAGGTCCCATCGGCAGTAGCGAATGTTGCAATTAACACTACAACAACTCCACATGATCTCGTTTCCTTTTCTCTCCTTAATTTGAAACAGACAAAAGTGCAGGCATAGCTCACAGTATAGAAGAGAAAGAATGTTTGGGAGTTGAAGTAAAAACTAAGAGTATTTATCAAAAGCTTAGGAGAATCCTGCAAAGAAACTTTTCAATCCGGTGCCAGTATCAATGATAAGTAAAAAGGGATGATAAGCTATACCTTTACGTCAACTAACACGCTTTCTTTACAAATGAAACCCCTTGTGAGTTAAGAGAGAAATAAAAACCCTCAACTCAAGCATGACGCCTTGACGTCACTGACTTGCTTCTGAGAAGTTGTTTTTCTTTGTGATACGTCCAAAAACGACGTTTCCCAGAGTGCGATTGACAAGAAAACAGACACATCTATCTTCTAGCCTTTTTAGGGAACCACGCGTCTTTGTTACCGGTAAGTGACGTTCTCAAGCCGATATCTGATGTTATCTATTGAGCAAAAGTGCTTAGAACTGAGTAATTGCAGCTAAAGTGATTACATCTCGGCGAGACGAACAATTGCTTTGGCAAATGCTTAGGATGCTCTACTAGCTCGCTATCGTAACCTTACCGGCTAAAACCGGCTTGACATATGGTTCTCCTTAATGAGGACATACATAACTCAATAGTTAGTATAAGGCATGAATCCACATTTCTTGTTCATCTCTTGGGACAGCGCTTATCGGTTCATAAATCGTTAGGAATTCGAATCAATTTTTGAGGAGTTCGGAAAGAATGGAAGTGCATTCCGAGAAAACTATACCCTCCTCACCAAACCCCTCCTGCTAAACTTTACAATTATTTGTTATAGACAGGTAACGCAGGAAAAAATCACTTTGATGCTAATTAGCATTTGAGAACCTCGTGAAGTTGAGGTGACGAAACTTGGGTTTTTCAGTGAGAGGTGTGGGCTACTTATCGTCGTTATATGTTCGTTCCGCTCAATAAATCAGTATTGACTTTGCGGCCTCGTACAATTGTAAACCTTCATTCTCGCGTCCTTGACAGAAAATTAAAATATGAAAGAAGACTGCTTCTCGCCATGAGCCAAGCGTCCTCAAGTATTGTACAGCGCGTCAGTGTTGCAAAAAGATCAGGATATCAGAGACGAAGAGGAAGGCTGCCTCACGCGGGCTTAAATCGCACGCAGTAATCGTTTCTTGTGTCGTGCGCAAAGCTTTGTCTAAAGTTAAAACTCTTTGAAAGGATTTGGAAGCATCAATATTTATTTGCTTTTTTCCCGTACGCTTGAGCTGTTTTAACCACCGTGTCGTCATTTTGAATAATAATTCAACCCGCGCTGTTTAATTAGTAACCGAAGTCTGTTGTTTTGGTGTCCAATGAGATGAAAGACAAATAATCAAGTTAATACAAACTTGACAACCCCTTGACAGTTGTATTGTGTATTCTCCGTTGCCATGCGCACTAAGATCAATCATCAAGTAGATAACAAAGTGGCTGTCCGATGAGCAAAAATTAATGATGCTGAAAATGTATGTATGTAGTCCAGTAGCACTGTAACAACTTGTTAGTCAAGTCCGACCAGGGACTTTATATATAGCATACGAGGTTAAGAGTACACCTCAGATAGTGTCACATTCTTGAGACAATTGTTCTTAGAGGTTGAGGCGCCGAGGATATCCGGTAACACAACAGCGGGGCGAACTGTCCGTCGTGTGTACATTCCGCAGGAGACTCAAATGTTCAACTTGTTCTGTGGCTCCTATTTCAATTTGCGACCCTGCGGAGGACAGCAATGTTTGTTTCACAGTGGTGCCAATGATTTTTCGTGCTTGGCGAATTAAGAGATGAATATTGACGAATTTATCAAAGGTCTTTCTAAGCAACACCAACTGACAGGTAGTGTTTGGTAGTCTTGACAGTTTAGTGTTATTTCGATGTTTTCGAACCCGTCGATACATATCCCTCGCACACGTTTGCTTCCTGTGCAACTTTGCAATCCATTAATTTCATATGGAGACTTTTTTTCTTTTTTTCTTTTTTTTTTTTTTTTAATTTTGTTCTTCCAATATATGTTTGGTCGATTCATGTAGGGTCTAACATAATTATGGTATTCAGCTTAGTAAATCAATTATAATTTTAGTGGGCCATTTCTTTCGCAGTGATTAAATTTACTCTACCTGGAGTATATGAGTTCCTTGAGGACATTTTAGCGGCAGAAAAACTGAGCGAAAAAGCAGAGAATTTACGGGTTGAATTTGTGAGTATTCTCAAACACCTCGGATGTACCCCTCACACTGATGAAATATACACTGTGACAAGTAACGACAAGGAATCACCTCAACAACAATCGCTACTTTTACGGTCAGACGACGACCTTGTTTTCAACAAAGGTTACTCGCACGACAACACAGAGCAAGTGCATTGGCCCGAAGAAACAGCTGAACCAGACGAAAAGGTATTCATTCAGTCAGTCATTCTTTTCAACGTGTTTGTTGACCACTGATTAATGATCGCAGTGGATATTGCCTTGTATTCAAGCGCGTGCAAGTAAGTAGAGAGCATCGTTTAATTGTTCCCTGCGTGTAAATGGTTAATCAGTTGCGGGCGAGTGCAACGATATAAATGATAATTACATAATTTGTCTAATTTGTTTTCTTATTTCTGTCTGTTGAACTGGTTGAATCTTTTCTCTCCTTGGCATTTTTTCAGCCATGCGTCAGTGCGTAGCGGTTTTATATTGACGTGTTCAATCTCTTTGACGATATCAAGAGCATCCGCAACTGTGATAAAACAATTATCCGTTTCGTGCATTTATCGCTTTCTTGAAAAGAAAAAAAAGATCATTCTTTGGACAGGAAACCACAGGCTTTGGTTGATAATATTCTTGGAAGGAAGTGGGAAAGTCTTAAGATTTAAGCAGTTGTTAACTACCAGGCATTCTTGTCTTTGATACTCGAACGATCGCGTACGTTTCATCGTGTAATCGTAGGTGGAAGTATACTAATTAGCCAAATAATGTTTGCAGGAAGCAATGACATTTATTACATACTCTTGCACTTCCCTGCCAAAATATGACCCAATAATTAATTGAGCAGTTTTCAGAAATGTATGATTTCTTATATCCCACGTCGAAGTTTGTGCATTCGGCCAATCTAGTAAAGAGACATGGATAATTGCGTGCGTGGTTTATTCCACAAATAAATTTCCCTTTCATTTAGAACGTCACTAGGCTTGTCAGCTATGCTAGCCTTGAATTCGAGGCACGTAGAAGCCACTTCATCCAAAGTAGAATTCATAGCAGTAATTTTAACTGTAGTACTTAGCTCCTTTGTCGCTAGTGTGATTTTCCGTTGTAACAGCTTGTGTGGTTAACATAATAGCCTGACCTTTTCAAAACAATTGGTTTTAGTTGCTGATAAAAGGTCTCGGTAATCCTTCTTTATGGTGTGATTTTTTCGCCGTAAGAGAACTCTGGGAATTTTTCAGTGGGTAGGTCAAAGGGACTGTGGAGCATTTACAAGTGCGCTTGACGCCACTATGAAGACTTATTCTGGAACATTTGTTTTTCCGCTTTAAGGTTATCTTCAGTCCATGGTGGTTGCCTCAAAAATTTGATTTGGAGATTAGATCATTGATTTCAAATCACTCATTAGCGATAATCGCGATGTTTCATCTTTCTTTGTTGGCTTGTTTTCGTTTTCGATTGTTTTTTCTTTTTAATATTGTTGTAAATAATTTGGGAGGCTTGAATCTTTAATGGAGAAATGTTCCGATTGCTATTCCGTCAGGCATGTCCTCGGCTTACCTCGGTAGTACAAACTAAACCAAAGGGAGAATAATTAAACATTTCGGTAGTGCTCAAAGTATTTTGAAGAAACTGTTTTGAAATGAGACATATAGGAGTTAGTAACATAATATTTAGTTCTGTTTTCAAGTTTGACATTTATTGAAGCGCTTTTTTTTACTGTTGTGACTGGACTTCAAAATTTTCACTTTAAAAATGTGTTCATTAACCGTGGAAAAAAAAAGACTATTCAGTGAATGACAGTATTTCACTCAGAAATCATGACCATTCTTCAAGTAATTTTTAGGCAGTATTCTAATGTTCATTTTTAAAACTGTCTTATTTAACGCCTTTCTTCCGTTCATTCTTCTTCGGATTTTACTTAAAGAATTTGAACTGTTAATGTATTTGAACTGTTCAGGAAATAGGAAGCAAGTTCTAAACTTGTAAGATTTCCATGTACATCATCTAAAATGTTTTTCTTTTATAGACATTGTTTTATCCTTGGGGAGTTGGGAGAATGTTGCGGCTATATGCTTGTCTAACACTTTTTTCCATTGCAATTGTTTCTTCTTTTTGAGGGGGGACGGGAACTCTGAGTTATGTTTTGTTCAAAGAGTTTAATCTATCAAAAGAATCTTTCATAATGGTACATACATGTGGGGTGTTGCAGTGTAGATAACAAGGTTATTGTTTTGGCCAGGCTGACAAGTAGGAAAGTTGGTGGGGTCGACATGGGGATTGTGACGTTTGATGCATTTTTGGCATAACATGCATCCCTGCAATATAATTGATTTAGCACGTGTTGTAGAGAACCCAAGTGGGGTATCATTTAATTTCTTTAAAAACTTTGATCACCTTAAATTTGATTGCCTAGAACTAAGAGTAGCCATATCACGCAGTATACTCAATTCCTGGAAAAAGTTAAAATGGTTCTTTGACTACATTTTGGTAAATCATACCATAGTTGGTAGAGTGGACCCCTCTACCAACTATGATCATACCTGATCTCGTTGTGCTGTGCAGCAGCATGTTTGACCTCTTACCTCTATAATCAGTTGGCATGTATAAGTTTTAAATTGCTACATCTAACATTTCCCATCTACTGCCCTACAGGTTAGCACTTAGTTTGCTGTTTGTCTAGCATGTGTGTTCAGATTACATTAATTTTACTCTTTCACCCAAATGCATCTCTTCAGGAAGAAAAAATTTATTTAAAAGACAGACTACACATTTTTGATTGAATTAAACTCCCACCTTTTGACCATACTGGATTGTCAGCACAAGGGGATGAACTTGCGGAGTAACCTGAGCTCAGTGTTATTCCTTGATTATATCATGCTCAAAATATGCAAAACCTATTTACAGTGAACTGATTTAGACCTGATTACTTCTTGTTTAAAGTATTGTTTAGAATTGCATAGCTGGGAGAGTTATAATTGACAACCGAAATTTCCTTTGTACCTTGGTAAAAAAAAAAAACACTGAGATTGTTTTACCAAATTTTGGAAATTTAGGTTTTAGCCAGGTGAGAGAGATATTGAGTTTAAATAAACCTAGGAAAGTAGGTTGATTTACATGCATTTTTACATGCAGTCATGTAAAGGTTACAGTTTAAACATAAATTTTAGTAGAAGTCTGCCAAAAACATTTTAGTACACTAAATGAGAAGTACTACAGGGCTAATGAATACTTTGATTATGACATAAAAGTGCATGTTCAGTCATGTCATGCTGCTTGACTGAAATTTAATCTAAAAATGAATTATCACATCCTATCATGAAATGTGTTGTTTCCTTTAAAAACAAAGTTTTTCAAAACTTTGCTTCTTGTTTAACCTTTGCATTATATACTTCTTAGAGTTTCTAACTTCTTGCCAATCATGTTAAAAAAAGACATTGTAACACTGGGTTGTGTTAGTAACTAATGTACCAATTTCCTTTTTATTAATTTCTTTTTTTGCCAATCCCATTAAAAAAGAGGCAAAATTGTAACATTGGGTTGTGTTTGTAACAAATGTACCAATTCCCTTTTTTTTCTTTTTTTACTATCCCTTACAATTATTTCGTAATAAAGTTGTCATTACCTACAGGAAAGTGAAGAAATACTGCCATGTCGCAAAGGAACAGATAGCACAGAGGAAAGTGGAATCTTTCTATGCAGTACTTCATTGCCTCAGTCAGATGCAACTTCACATAAAGATACTCTCAAAGTACCCATGCTGGATTCAGTGGATGCTTGGTCTCGAGACACAATAATCTCAGAAACAGGCAGTGCAGAAGTTGAAGTGCTTGATGGTTGGGAAAGTGATGTGAATGGTCAAGAAGAAGGTTACTTCACAGGAGATAATGTCTTTGTGGACTATTCTGTTCAGACACTTGACCTTCAACCAAATGAATTTGGAGAACTTCATAGTAGTGTGATGTACATAAGGGAACATCCTGGATGGCACAAAAGATGGTTTTCCATTAATGGCCAATGCTTAACATGCTTTCGACATAGATCTGAGACAAAGATGTTATTTCAGATTCCCCTTAAGGGAGCAAAAATTATACCAACAGACAGAAAGAAAAGCAGAATGTTTCCCATAACTTTATCAGTTCCAAGAATTCATGAGACAATGACTTTTGCCACAACAGAAGATCATTTAAGACAGGAGTGGGTATACGTGATAAACTATGTCCTTTCAAGACTTTTAGAAGATGATAGCAGTCCAGACTCACCAGAGAATCAACCAGCTATTTCATATGATACTTACCTTAAGTTAAACAAGTCCGAAAAAGACACCAACAAAAGTGACCCTTGCATTGATGGACTTGAAAAGCATGATCAGTCACGGAGAAGGAAGGTCTCAGTTTGTCTTGATGGAACCAGAATTTCAGAACCTTGCAGGAGTTGGAGTGATAATAATGATAATGTTATTACAGGTTCTCTTTCTCCATGGAAAATGTCTGGTGTTGAAGAAGTTGAAGAAGAAATGCATGTTATGAATAATGATCTCTCACCCGGATTGGATGATGTTGAGTCATTTAGGGAACTACAAGAGGTAAGTGGTAGAGAATAGAACAGCACTATTCAATTTTTTTTATTCGTTTCCTCCGCCAAAAGGTGTTGGCTTACATTTTAATATGTTGCCAGTCAGTTATTTTAAGGTAAAATGTGTGACCTGTAGTGCTACTTTCATGTTTCTCTCTGACTATCTGAAAAACTTTTTTTTTTTAGATTCTACCAGACATTATACAAGGGTGTGAGGTTTCTCCTGAAGGAAAAAAAAAGAAAAAGAGCATTTTCAAGACTTACTCTTCTAATAATGTCAGCAAAGTTGGTAAGTTTAAAGGCAATCACTTTTCCCTCGCAGTACATGATGAAAATACAGAGGCTCCTCTTGAAAAAGCAAAGAAGCAAAGCTATACGAATAAATAAATATGTAACCGATGGCGTCTTGCAAAATCGGCAACCCAAAGTCGTAAAAACAAACCACAGGTTAATAGCTGACAGTTTTACAGATTCTTTCATGTTTTCTCAGCAGAAATATTCCATAAGAACCGAACCGTAAAACTAAAGAAACGAATACAGAAATCGATCGGCAACGCTTACAACAAGTGTATGACCATGAAATAATAATAATAATAATAATAATAATAATAATAATAATAATAATGATAATAATAATAATAATAATAAAAGATTTATACCGCGCCAGTATTCTACTGTTCAAAGGCGCCGACAAAAACTTTAACATTAACACTTAATACAGCTAATATTAATTATAAAAGGCTTTTCTAAAAAGAAAAGTTTTTAATCTACTTTTAAAAACAGACACAGACTGAGCATTTCTAATTTCACTTGGCAAAGCATTCCATAATGATGGTGCTGCTACAGAGAAGGATCTTGCGCCATATGTTTTCAAGTTATAGGATGGAGAAACCAGAAGGTGCTTGGATGATGAGCGTAGTTGACGCGATGGGGTGTAAGATGTAAGCAAATCACAAATGTACGACGGTGCCAAGTTGTTAGGTGCCTTGTAGGTTATAAGTAAAATCTTAAAAATAATACGTTGATTAACGGGAAGCCAACAAATGACAAAAATAAACGAACGAACTATACCTTTGTGCAGCTACGAGGCCGCAGATGTTCTAAGCCTAACAATCCATGAAAAGATCTATTTGTAAAACCCAAAGACCGACGAAAAAACATGCATAAGAAGCTGTAACACGAAAATCTAAAAATTTATCAAAGCACATAGTTTTCCTGCGCGTGCAAGTATTCTTGGGACACACTTATTTGTCGCTTCATGTAAGCTACAAAATAAATAAATAAATAAACAAAGAAACCAGTAAATAAATAAAAAAGTCAGTCAATCGATAAATAATAGCAGAATATAAGTTGTTTAAATCCACTCAGTCTAAAAAATGTATAAAATCATAAGATTATAGCGCTGCATCTTTTTGCATCTTCATCATGACAGTGCAATGACAGATCAATTTTATGTTTGCAAATTAAAGTCTTTAACCACCAAAAAATGACTTCTGCCTTAGATCACCAAGATGGAAGTTTTTTATCAGTCAGCAATTGTGAAGGAAAGTCATCGTCAGTCTCAGACCTTCAAAGTCTCGGCTCAAAAGTGAAAAGACATGGCTCCCTAGCTGATTCATTGTCTTCTAAAGCTTTGCGTGTCAAATCGAGAATAACAGGAACTTTCTTTAAGAAAGGTGAGTACCTTGATATGTAATGAAAATGTATTCAATGGTTATTATTCAAATACACGCTGGATAATCCAGTGCGAATCCCCACTCACGGAAAAGTGCAAGTGCAAAAATTATCTCATTGAAATAAAGTCAGCTCATTTCGTCATTTTTTAATTGTTTCCTGCAGGTCGTAAAGATGACATAAAAACTCCACATGAGTTGATTTCGTCTCAAAGCACCACATTTTCGGGGTATTTACTTCGAAAGAAAGGAATGAATTGGAAAAATCGGTGGTGTGTTGTCAAAGAGCACTCTCTATTTTGTTACAAAGACTTCGGAATAGGTACAGCTGAGCTCCAGGCTCCTCTGCGTGGTGCCTCAGTAAAACTAGTCGTAGAAGGCAGTGATTCTGATGACAAGCAGCACGTATTTGTGTTGATGGGTGAAAAAGAAGAATTGCTTTTCGCCGCAGAAAATGACGCTGAACAAGAGGAGTGGATAATGGTTTTGAATGACGAAATAAAATCGATCGAGAATTTTCCAAGTAAGTGCGTTTTGAGCGGCTTTAGGCGGCTGAATTCCTGGCTTTGGTTAAGAGATGGCTTCCCTCAAAACCTAGCTTTACAGTACAAAGTAATGCTAATAATATAGTTATGAATGTCTTCAATTTGATGAGCTAATTTTGCTCACCGTCTAAGTCTTTTCCCTCTAATTTTTCCTTCCGCTTCGTTTTTGTAGCGACAAAACAACACAAAATACACAAGTTGTGTGTTTCTCAAACTTGGTTTGTTGCGCACTTCACTTTTGGCGGGAAAATTATGCACGGGGGGGGGGGGGAGGAAGTACATCTGGGCTATTTTACAAGGAAAGATAGCTTTGTCTTTAGTGCCTTAGCTTGTGTGAGTGGTTTTTTGTTTTGTTTTTTTTGTTTTGTTTCTGTTTTTTTGTTTTGTTTCGTTTTGTTTTTCCACGTTAAACGCATTATATCAGTCTGCCTGTCCGATGCGATAATATCACCGTGGGAATATTGCTATTAAAAAATTACTCTTTCCTTTCTTGCCATGCAGGTCCCGTTTCAGATTCATCCGAGAAAACCCCAGGTATGTCTCCCAGATCTCAATCTGACAGGTCTACACCAGGAAGCCCTTCACTTCCAGACAGTAAGGAGTTAGTCAGAAAGAACAAGGACTCTTCTCCAGTCAGTGCCAAAAAGACTTCTCTATTTAGTTCAATTGGACATAAAATCACCAAGTTGAAGCCCAAAGCCGTTCCTGTTGGTGAATTAGCTGTTCCTGCAGTAGATGTTACAACAAGCGGTAGTGTAGAAGACGGCTTCATTTTGTTACAACATGGAAATGATTCAGGTGAGTTTGGTAGAGCAGATTGATCAATTGATCGAAGCAAGGGAATAGCCTTTCTCTACAGCTACCACAGAAAGCCAATTTTACTCCCAGAGGCCTGCCTCTATGGTGTGCACTGGAGGCTATTGTGAGAATGTTTTAGCACTGAAATCTCAGGAAAAATTATCCTTCGAAAACAACAGGAAGGCAGCAGAAGCTTGACGAAATTAAGATTAAACAAGGCTTGGGGTGAATTTTGAGTGGATGGTTTAATCTTGCATGAGGATTTCAGTCTTAAAAGATGCTTCTTTCAAGTTTGATTGCTCCGAACACTAAAAACGTAATGTTGATATTTTGTTTATATCACAACGTTTTCATCTCGTGTTAAAACAAAAATTCTAATTCGAAGTGTCTGCGAAATCTTAACTTTTTTCGACAAGCTTCTAGATTGCCTTCATACTGCCCCTAAATTTTGGTTTACGTGTCTTCCCAAAATGTGTGTACGAAGATTTACATATCAATTTCGATCAATTGCTGATATTGTAAGCAAAAGTTATTTAGTTATTTTTAGTCTAAATTTTATTTTGGTTCCTTTTCTTAATTTAGTTAAAACTTGGGCGTCGACTAAACTCATTGCCTGGACAATGACGAAGAAAATCGAGTATTTTAACTTAGATAAGCGGAAAGTTTGGCTTCTCAGTTGATCCAAAATAGCGTGAATTTTTGTGTAAATCGATGATGCGTTAAAAACGAACTCCCATATACTTTGTGACAACGCTTGCCTAATATATTCAACATCAAGCCTAATGTCATTAACACTTCTACGTGCTGCCAATAGTTTAAAACTGGAGGCGTAAACAATTTTCTACTCCTTCCTTGTCAGGGCAATATTTTTTAAAATTTATTTCCGTGCTAAACATGTGTAGATCGTAACTGACATCCTGTCGAGTGCACGTATTCAGGGTTTGCATTGTATTGGAATCTTATTATTCCAGGTTCTTCAAGTGTGGAGCGGAGACCCAATAAAGGCGCTGGACGCGAAGTAGCCACTTCTCATAACATGGAGGGCTTTCTTAATCAACGCGTTGAAGATGATACGTGGCTCAAATGTTGGGTAAGTTGGTCTCATTCGCATAAATGGTTAGAATGAAGCATTTGCATGTTTAGCTAACGTCTACGTAGCCGAGAAGCAGGGCACTGAATTATCAAAGGCTTTGCATCTAAGCTATAATTGAAAACGTTCAATTTTTGATCATTACCTGTAACACTTTTGTAAACCGGCGATATCTTTGTAGTTTCTATTATTTTCTTTTCTGTGTTGTTAAGGGCTAAAACCCGCCTTCGTTTTTTCTACAACGTATTATCGAGTTGATTATTTTTTACGTGAAGCTGCATTAATCAAACGTCAAGGTGTTAATTTATTATGAGGGAGCATTTGAAAGCTAATTTATCATTGTTAAGTGTTGAAGCTTGGAAGCGTATTGAAATTTTTCATCAGGTAGTCTTGGACCTTTCACAAATATGTGGCGAATTTCCTTGTTTGTTCTGGAGTTTGATTTTGCGACCAAACCTCGATGAGTTAATACAAGTTCTATAGACGTGACAACCAGCTGTTGTTGTTATGTAATGTTGTTAACATCATAACAACAATGACTCATTAACGGTTGCACTAGAACAGTGCAATACTAAAACTGAAAGTATTGGTCCTGTTGAATTTTGCTACTATGAGACGGGCGGGTTTTATGGGTAGAATTAGTTAACACTTCTTCTCATATTGGCTCAGTAACTGTAACCCAACATTCTATTTTTGCCTTATCGTTCCATGTTGTAGGCATTTTTCTCATATGCGGCATGGATAGTATACTGTGTATGAGAAAAGAAGGCTCTTTGCTCCGCCCCTCCCCTAACCCCACCTCTTCTTCCGTTCTTCCTTTTCGGCGTTGTGTTCGGCCTTATTGGCTTAAATAATCCAGCCCGGATAAGCAAGACGATAATTCGCAATCATAACCAGGGACAACTTCTTTTCTCGAATAGCGGTATATTTTATATTAAAACATGAGCCAAGTTTTCACCCGTGTGGGTGAAACTTGAAAGGTGCTGCCAATTTATAGGACGTTCAATTAAAAAAGGCAAGGCAAGTGAAATTTCAGTATCAGACCGCTTGCTGCAATATATGAAACTTAAGAACGTTTTAAGAATGTTTCTTTTTTTTATTATGGCCTCATCACTGAATTGATCACGATTGAAAGCAGTCGTTTGAAATCTATGCGATTTAAGATGCCTTTATTTTTATTATTGATAAGGCTACATATGATTTGATCGATAATCTCTTACATATGTTGCTATATTGCATTAATGTAGATCAAACGATATACCGCACCTTGCCTCAAGTTCCGTCTCGTCATGTCCCGAAAGCCGTCTTACGATTCCTGTTAATGAGAAGGCCGAACTGACGTATAGACTCATCGAAACTACTGGCCCACTCGCTTGCCCAGTACCCTCTAACGATCTCTTTGATCAAAATTTTTATTTATTTATTTATTTATTTAAAATTTTTATTTATTTATTTATTTATTTATTTATTTTTATTTTTATTTTTATTTATTTTTATTTATTTTTATTTTTATTTTTATTTATTTTTTATTTATATTTACTTATTTTTATTTTATTTATTTAAAATTTTTATTTATTTTGTCTTTAAAGATAAAACTTGAAAAGCACACTCTACATATACACGATGATAAGGATAGCGAAGACTCAGTTGTGGTGAAAATAAAGCTAAACAACTGTGTGGTGAAAGACAGGGGCGACGAACAACGACCTTATGTCCTGGAGATTAGGCGAGCTCTTGGGCGAACACACTTTTTGCAAGCTCAAAGCGAATCAGGTGAGGATAAAAAAGATCGCCCAATCGAGATTGATAATGACTGCTCTTAGTTTTTTAGTGCGAATTTATATGTAACGGTGATAAGGGTAGCAGATAATTTATAAAAGGTTGTAAACAAAATAACAACAATGAAGGAGAGGATAATGGTTTTAAGACGTTATGTAGAACTGTACATCAGGATCAAAGCTCACCGAAGTAAATTTCTTTTCGTTTTCAAACAGAGTACAACACGTGGAAGACGGCAATAAGTGGGTCCATTGTCTACTCACCCAAGAATCCCCGAAGACCAGTGTTAACTTGGAGCTCAACGGACGAGGACAGAACTCATCGAGGCCCTGTTCCTCTGCTTGCTAAAGCGCAAGGCGATTCAATCGATAGAGATGACGTGTTTCAGAAGACAGAAGAGGTGCTTACGTCACCTACTGCTCATCCTGTAAGACCAAACACCCCACTTAATCCATCACCTCGGGTAGGTGGCTAAAAGTGGCAGAGGTCGACATTTTCTCAAGAGGCGATGCTTAGTTAGCTCGGCATGAATGTCCAGTCACATAGTTGGTATCTGTTGCCTCAAAAAGTGTTAATATATAGTTGCAATATACATGGGTTATTGACTAAGCGTAAGGTCAAGAAAGCTCGACCATTAAAACGCAAAAAAGAACGAGGCTAATATCCGGCCATCTTGATCGAACAAGCTTGGTCAATAAAGGATTAATTTATTATATAAGAATCAAGAATGACTTGTTCATCTCGAGAGCCGGGAAAGAAAGCCAACTGTGTTTGTAGCACCATAAACTCACGAGGGTAGTTGTTTTTACCGTCTTCTGCTGCTTTTTGCGACTTCATAGCCGATATTGTATAAAAATCACGAACTTTTTTAAATCTGCGCAACGCACTCAGTTTTTTCAAAGCGGCCTCCCCGAGCGGGTAAGATGAGCCCTTCTTGCCCGCTCGGATAGCCAATCAGAACACAGGATTCACTTCATATTGCCCAAAGGCGCTGCCAGCTATGTAATAAACGGAATTAAAGTTCAACCTCGATTGAATTAGAGCGAGAGTTTTTTTTCCGCGATTGTATGTGAATAAAGAATATACCGATATGTTTTGTTATTTTCCATATTCTTGGAGGTGATTTTTTGTTTTGTAGCCGTCTACAGCTGGTGACGTTTCTAACTCAGAGAGTGATGAGGGCGAATCTGCTGTTCGAAATGAGCCGCTGCAAACTGAGCCAGTTGAGAGATGGCGATCCTTTTCTGAAGGAGAGCAGGTACTGTGTGTAATAAAACCTCAACATTTTCTTGGTTTGGAAGGCAATATTTGCTACTCTAATATCAGTTTGCTGCAAACGAAAAGTAAAGGAACTAACGGAGAAAGCGTAGCCCTAAAATGTGTTGGTTTTCCTTAACACAGGAGGAAGAGAGAAAAACCAGAAGTAAACTTCATCGCTCCATCTCTAACGCCATACCAGCCATCGCCCATTTTCCTGGCAAGCGAAAACGTCGCAGTCGCACGGTACCAAATGTGCAAGTCTCTCAGGAACTCATTTCCAATGTGAAACGCTCTTCCTGTCTATTTATGAGGAATGGTAAAGGGCTATGGACAAAGCGGTGGTGCGTGTTACAGAAAGATAAACTACATCTTTTCAGACGACCTGATGAAGTAGTGCCAACGACATCGATCCCCTTAAGACAATGCGAAGTACGGTGCGGTAGCAAAAAGACTAAGAAGTTTAGTTTTGAACTAAATGTTCCTTCAGAAAAAGAGGACTTTTGTTTTGCCGCTGATTCGGAGAAGGAGATGTTAAGTTGGATGAGGCTGCTGAGGGTAGTAGCAGAGGAAGCAGACGTCATTGAAAGGTTTGTACCTAAGTGAAATACTCTCGTATGAACTAGCCGAAAGGAGTCCCAGAGGGAAATGGAACTGAGAAACAAGAAATTTATACTGATTATGTTGAAAGGTGAAATTATTGGATATGATACCTTTTTGGAGATAAGGGTTTAGGAAAGTTGGCAGAAATCAGCGAGCTCCCCATACATGTACAATCGATGGCGTTTTTGGTCATAAATTTCCGGTAAAAATAAGTGGGAAGTTTTATTGGTCAAATGGGTCAAAATCTTTCCCTTTGCAAAATTGTGGAACCATTAAAACGGTATGAAATTGAAGTGTCCAAAGAAAACATTTCTACCGTGGTCGGGCAGAATATCGTTCTCAAATTTAAAATTCATCTTGATCAGTACGCTAGGGCTTCAAACTGGGAGGCAACTGCATTTGAAATAACTTATTCATATTATGAACTTCTCTTTCAGCTCTACACCTGAGCGGAGCGATGTAGCAAAAGGTGAAACAGAAGATAATTCCAGAGATATGGACCTGGCTTCCTTAGTCTGTGAGACAGATCAGTCTCCAGTCAACATTCACCAGAAAAACGACGAGATTTTCGAGACTTCCTCTAACTCTCAAATAGAGTCGCAGAAAATCGAAGAAACATTGTCAACAAACAGTCAAAGCGAAGGTTTGCCAAAACCAAGTTCTTTCGCTGCTAGACCCACATCACTTGATGGCGTATTGAAACTTCTTCAAGATCAGCAGTTGATGCAACAGATGGGACAGCAGAGATTTGACAAAGCTAAGAAGGCCCAAAAAGCATGGCAGAGGTCAGCGGCTGCAGCTTTGAAAGAGCGTCGTTCTGCTTCTATTACCCCGGATGGAGAGATGTTTGAGCCCACAAGTCGAGAAGCAGCGATCGACGAAACAAGGCGTAGAACTTTGTCTTTGTCGAAAACACAAGTGGCGAATTCGGAACTTAGTCCCATTCCATCTTCCCCAAAACTGGGCGCTAATAAGATTATAGAGCAGTTTGAGAAACTTGCTGAGGAAGAAAGACTTAAAACTTTAAAAAAAGAAACGCTATTAAAGAAGCGCCGAAACTCACTTACGCTTGAGAAAGATGTATTAAAGAGGAAAATTAACAAGACACAAGAAAAGAAAAACACTGTGAAGAAGTTTCTGGGGAAAGATGAGACAGCGAGCACTGAGGATAGACATCGTGTTGAGGAAAGACTTGAACAAGTGAATCGAGAACTTGAGACAATTGAAAAAGACTTGCTGGATAACAAGAAGATCGAGGCGCAAGCATTGGATACCATAAACGTTATGAAAACGAAAACAGTGAGGAAGCACTCTTTCGCCAAAAGCTCGACTAACAGAATTCAGTTAGAACAGAAACGTAGTGAATTTAAGAACTCCCCCTCCGAGTCCACGTCCTCTCAGGGGTCGACAGAGGATAAGTCGGAGAGAGAGGTCCCAAGGACACAAGAAACGTTGGAGGCTGTGCGAAGGCAAAGCACTGCTGTATCCTTAGCTGCACTAGAGAAGGAACTCAGGAAAATTTCTCCAGTTGGCAGTCGAAAGATAACCGTTGGAGGCGAACCTTTCAGACATGGTAGAGTTTCTTGGTCTTCTGAGGGTTCTCAGGACGACTCAGGTTTGAAGGATTCACCAACCTCCGCAAAGAAACCATTTCTGGGAAAGAAAATCTCAATAGGCTCAGAAGGTTCACCTGGCGATCATTCGTTTTCGAGACCTAATTTAGCTGATAGCGCTGAGTTGAGGAGGAAGCGCTTTTCCGCTTCAGGTTCTAAGGTGGCATTTCACAACCTCTCCGTGGAGATACCCACTGAAGACGAAAAAGACGTGGAAGACGGTAAAACAGTCACAGACGGGCATAGATTGTCTACTACGTCGGAGCCGGGTGTGTCTGAGATTGCTTCTCGAAAGCTATCAGTCAACTCTGAGAAAGGCATGGAGGACCACCGTGCCAGCTTGTTGAATGCCCTATCGCAGATAAAGGTATGCGTTAATTCTTTAAATTTGGCGAAGGACGCCGTTCTCTTCAAAGCCGTCCACTAAACAGTCCGCCCTTGCAAACTGCCTGCAATATAGCCACTAATAGTTTCAGGCATCTTGAACATACCCTGACATCAGAACCCACCTTAAGTACTTCTCACCTCCTCATGCCTGAACTGAATATATCCTTGCGTGAACTCTAGTGGTTGAGGGGTTTCTGAGTCGGCGACAAATTGTTTTCTTAAGCCGCAGACGGTGATGTACTTGCGGTAAAAATGTTTACCACATTTCATGTATCCAGAGAAATAGTTCAAGGAGTAGTTTTTCTCAAGAGATGTCGGATAATTTTTTTGCACTCGATAAGCGGGATTTACAGGGTAGATAAAATTCATCTTAATTTGGAATTGATGTCAAAACATCTAGTTCCTATAGAGCAATTACAAAATGGAATTTTTTTTTTAACTGAAACCCCAGAGGTTGTTCTGAGAACCTTTTCCAAAGCAATTTGAGGTGCAAAACTAGCACTGACTAACCGTGAATTTCGCGCACTTTTTTGTCATTAGCAAACACTTAGATCATTTAAAAGCCACAAAAAAACTAAACGCCGCCGGCGTCCATACTGCAGCCAATTGCAGGTATACTGGCGGTGTGAGAAGCCTGACAATTGACATCATTCAATGCATTATAAGAATTTTATTTGTTCTGAACTGGCGAAAGAGTCAAAGCGACTTAGTAAATAACTCCTAACGGCCGTTTAAGCTGAGCAACCATAATCCTTTGCGGGTTCATATGCTATTTTTATCCAGTTCTCCGGTGTTTTATGCTAAGTTTTGTTGACAAATGTAAACATAGCGTTGAGAACTTTAAGCAATTTTGACATGTACGCGCTTTAACTAGTCTTTATTGTGTTTTGTTGTTCAGGACTTTGAAGAGTTTGCTGCTGTTTCCATAGGAGATAAGAGGAACAAATGAAACAACGAGCCTTGGGCCTGCACGCAGAACCACCCCACCACTCCTTGCAAATTTATGGAATAACTAATTGAAAATATGGTGAGATGTCAATCTGAATGATTTAAATATCCAAGTATCCCACATGTCAAAATCAAGCACTGGGCGCCTCATTATGAACTTCTGTAAGATCTCGGTGTTTTGTTTTTTAGTAATGTGTAATAGTAGTACTATTACTGCTATTACAATATTATTAATTTTAATCAACCCATCTTTTTGTATTTGACTATTACATGGTTGTTATACGTGATCAGCATTCGATAGGAATACACACTATGCATTTTATGCTCAATTAGCGCTTACACGTGTGTAGGGAATATTCTTCACGCGTGCTAAAATAAGAAGTATGAAAAAATGACGACAGGAAATCCTTACTCGATGGTATATAAAAGAAAAAAATTCCACGCAGGGCTTAACCTAAAGAAACGGAAGGGCTTTAAACTTCAGATTTTCCAGGCAATTTTGCTATTATTTATCCTCTTCTGAAGTTTTCGACTTGCTTTATTAAAATCATGACTTGATGCTTTATTGTGATTTCTGTACAAAGCTTATATGAAGATGATGTTTTAGAGTAGGTTTAAAGTTAATAATTTCCCATATAAAGTTACAATATTACCTGATTACAAGCTGGCCGTTCTTGATACTGATACATATGATATATTTATTGGAACCCTCGTGATTTCCTTAATTTCCTTGCGCTATAAATAAAACGTGCTTGTTGTCCTCAAATGGCACTGCGCTGTAGGTACAATATAATTTCCTTTGATAATGTGAATGTGAAAATTGCGTCGATGACTATTTTGTAAAGAATGAACTATTTGATAGAGTTTGGAATTATATGTATTGGATATATGATCTATGAAATAAAGAAAAATTTATACTTCTTAGTAAAACTTGGTTCACGATTCGCTCCCAGACCCTCCCTCCCATAGAGTAAAAATGTTTTCTATTAATGCAGCGTTTATTTTCTTGCGGACTGTTTTGTGGTTGCCTTAGAAGCATTGTCTTGAAACTTGATCTACCCAATAAGATTTAGTTTCCTAATATAAATTATCTTTTGAAAGAGACTAGTTGTGGGCAAACTAGTCAAGTCACGTGGAATCTTATTGTGTAATCGTGTCTGAATGCGAACACTCCTAGCTTGAAAGCTCTCACCAAAATGCATTTTGCGCGTGCTAGGTCACATTAATGTTGCCAGCTGAAAACGAGAAGTTTCTATTTTTTGCACTTGATACCAATCCGAAAAATAGGAAGCGATTTGTGGGTTAGGGCGTATTTGGCACAGACGAAAATTACTATTTGAATACATATATCTTATTAGACGTTTTGTTGTGTAGTATCGCTGAGTATTTTTACGAGTTGTGTCGTATTTTGACGAGCTCGTAGGGCGAGTCAAAATACAAATAACGAGTAAAAATACTCAGCG